CACAGTCACTTAATGAATTTTGGCTCAATCACGTCAGTGACCCTCCTGTCACCCTGTGAAGCAAGCCTGCGGTGGGAATACTGCCTCCTTTACCCACAGGTTGCAAGAAAGGTCAAATCATTTGGGGTTGACCATTGGTCACCACCTAATCAGCTTAGTAAAAAGTTGTTGTTGTTTAAGAAATGCTGGGATTTTTCATCTCATTCAAGCACTAAGTTCATTAGGAAACTTGTCCTTATTTGTCCTTATTACATAGATGGAGCAGCAGGTGTCCCTAGCTGGAACACCCAACTGTGACAAACAAGTCTGTTTCTGCCCCACCACACATGGTTCCCAAAGCTGGAAGCAGGAGAAGTGTGAGCTCACAGGCCCAGCACCCAGAGTTCAGCACCCCTTAACCTAAGGGTCTCCCTGCCCACGGCCTTGGTCAGGGCTGGGGAGCAGGAGGTCCACTACCAACTAACTCTGTGGCATACTGAGTCTCACAGATTTGTCATTCAGTGCACAGCTTCTCTCTGTGCAGCCCACACAGCTAATCCCTGTACTATATTTCTCTCAGTTTTCCCTCCTCCACCCACAGTTCTGCTGACTTCTCTCCACACAGGAGAGACAGAACAGCTGAGGAAACAGCCAAGTGGTGGAAAAATTTTGAAAGTGTTTTGAGCCCACCCAACCTGAGGAGAGCATTCAAAGAAAAACAGGAAAGGGTGAGTAGGAGCTCCCTCAGCCCCCGCACACAAGCCAGGGATTGTCACTCCCGCCCACCCTCAATCCCTGCAGGGGCAGACTGCTGCGATGAGCTACTGGTGCCCACACAACGAAATATGCAAATGTGTCTTCTGTGAGGATTATGGAATGGGGGCAATTGCTTGGATATTTCAGACACTGCGTCATAGAACTTGGGGGCGCAATAGGCTCATTTCACTCAAACACCCACCACAAGAATTGAACCAGCACTTTTGGCCTTAAATCAGAATATCCTAGAGGCCATCATACTGAGAGAACAAACACAGGTCTGTGTTGCTCTGTGTGTGTGCACATGTGCATGTTGTCATATTACTCAGCCTTTTCGTTTCCTTTCAACTTCTCTTCCTACTCCAGACCAGAGCTTTCAAGGCTGCCTGTCTTTTCAGGGACTGGGTGTGAGAAAGAAATGTGAAGTCATTTAGTTCTGAGTTCTATTTAGTTCTCTCTCTCTTTCTCTTCTTTGCTAGAGATTCCAGCCAGTTAAATGACTTGGAGTTGGCAAGCACAAAAAATTAGCTAAGCTCACCATTCATCTGTTCATTCATTAAACAGACGTTTGTTGAATATCTACACAGATAAGGTCCCAGCCCTCACCTACTCAAACTGAGTTACATCCAAAAGAAGTCATCTTTGATCCTCTTACTTCCCTGCAATGGCCTCCAGATTAATTTTTGGATCTGGTTTAGCATAGAGTTTTTGCCTAGAACCTAGAACCTGTGTAAGGGCTATGCACCCAATGGATAAACAGGAGTATAAGTGTCCTTCAGTATCAGTGACCCTTGAAAAGGTTTATAGCCTATAGATTAGACTAGTTGTCTCCTAGTTAAGTAGCCAAGCATAAAAATTAGCTCATTCACCATTCTTCTTCACTTTGTTGGCACAGTTTCCACCCACCCCCACCCCCCATTTTGAATAAGAGACTATTTTCAAAGCTGGTTTAACTTTCTTTGTTCGTGCCAGTATTACGGATACAATGCTAATTGATATTTACCCATTTAGGTAACATATATTTATTGAGTAGCTACACTATGCCAGACACTGTCCCAGGCATGGAGGTTGCAACTTTACATAATGATTCTTTCACAAAGACAAGTGAGTGGGATCAGACAACCTTTGGCTTGCTGTTCTTTCCAAACACACAAAAAAACTTTAATTATGCACTTCTGGGCAGAAAACCAAAGTAAAGAATGTGGTTCTAATAGAAGGGAAAAGTACGGACGGATTGTTTGCTTCTATTGACTAGCGGTGATCAAGTTTTGAGGTTCTTTATTTATCAGTTCTATCGTCTGACTAACTGTCTACAGCTGGTGTCTTAGAGGCTGAGCAATATAGATTATAGTTAATGTTTTCTAGTGTTTTTGAACCATCAGCACTGTAAGGAATGTTTTAAAGTAGTTGTTAGAACCAGATGGTCAAAAGACCTAAGACACATGGCTGCTCCCAAAGAGCAGAACTTTCCTTCCCTCCTGAACTCTTAAGTTGGAGAAACAGAAGAAATACCACAGAGTTTGGCAGCCCTGGGACTCTGAGGTTAAGGATGAATTATTTCAGTCTGTTGATGCCCACCTGGGGTATAAGGCCTTGCGGTTTCTTTACTGGTGAGGGATGACCCTGATGTGGTCCAAGAGCAATAAGACTTAGCAAATGAGCAAGGTGGTGATTTGTGGCCAACAAAATTTTGCTTGCTTCAGAACCGTATCTATTGTCAGGCCAGCAAAGATCCAGAGGCTGGAGAGTCATCCCTGGGCTGTGGATTGGACATACCATCTCACCTCCTGGCACTGACAGGCCTTTTTGCACCTAATTGGAAAACAGCTCCATCTCCAACACAGCTCCAAACTGTCAACAAGGCTCTGCATGTGGAATATCCCTTAATTTCTAAACTTTCTGGATGATATCCATTCAATAATAAAGGATGCTTGTATTGTTCCATAACTACTATAAACTTCTGCTTATCCAGCCTCTCAGATGCTCTTCTTTAATGAGAAAAATAAAAACCACTGGCAAAATCTCAAATACAATAAACTAATGACAAGCCCTATGTTTTAATAAGCTCCATTTCTGTCTTAATGAAACTAGTGGATGGCCCTTCTCCCCCTACAAATGGAACAGTCACTTGTTTCTTTGGCTTTGACAGAAGGGTTTGTTTGGAATGCATTGTTCATTGTTGCTATCAAATAGACTTTTGTTTTTGATTTGAGGATCCCAGAATGATCAGAGAAAGGAAACCATTAATCAAAGGGGTTTACATCTATGTTTTCCATGTGACAAAAGAAGCTAAGGATACATGATAGCTCCCAGTTGTCTGGCTGTTGAGGTATGCTCACTCAGCCTGCATGAGGACACAACTTTTACAACTAGTGGAAAGAATAAGACAGGTCTAAGTTTGAATCCTGACTCCAAACTCTCACTCTATCATTTAATACCATGGTCAAATTATTTATCCTTCCTGAGTCTCATTTAATGGAGATCATTTCTTTCCTCCTAGGATTACTGAGAGGGTTAAACGAGATTTAGCACAGCTCCTGGCATGCAGAAGGCCCTCAGTGTATGCCACTTCCCCTCCCACCCGCCTTTCCCTCCTCCCTGTAGCCACATTTATGAGATTACATCACAGTTCCCTCAGTGACACGGCTGCTAGGTCTCAGAGTTTCCAGATTTCTGCTGATTTAAGAATCCAACTGTGCTGATATTATTTATGCAAATGTCAGCTGGGGACTGATGCCATAACAAGGATGAGTCACCTCAGAACACTCCTCAGAGAGAACGGGAGTTTCCTCATTTATGGTGAAGGATGGTGGGAGAGCCTGCCCTGGGATTCAGGGGCTCCGACACGATGTTCTCATGGCATCAGAAGGTTTTTGTAGGAAGGTCTAGGACTCCTCTAAGCCACATTAAATAGAGGTTAGCAGCTTGGACTTTGAAATCTAACAAAGCAGCATTTGAATCCCGATTGCCCACTCACTAGCTCAGTAGCCTCTCAAAGCATCTGTTTCCTGTCAGAGTTCTTCTGAGGATTAAATAAGGCAACATACATAAGGCATCTAGGACATTGACTTGGCACAGAGTAAATGCTTAATAAAAGTCAGTTATAATCTCGCTGTGTGTGTCTCTGTCTCCCCCACTCTCCTCCTCCTTTTCTTTCCACCCTCTCCTTCTCTGCCTCCTCTCAGCTCTTTGCTGAGTATTGAAGCTTGCCTCACAGCAACTGGCGCATTAAGAGATGTGCATCTACTCCTTTCTCACTTCTGCTGAACTGCCTACATCCTACCCATTCACACCCCACTCAACATTAATTCATCCTTTGATCATTATCTAGTGAAGCCTGTCTTCACACTTGAAAGAAACTATAATTATTGCTCAGTTGTATGAAACCTCATATCGTCACTAAATAAATAGTTGTTGATTGATCATGAAAATAAAAGCTTAATAATATACTTCATTGAAAAGCTGTCTAATTTCATACCATTATTTCTAAGTTCCATAACATACCACAATAGTTTATCGCAGTAAATTTGGTTTTTAAAAAAGCTAAATATGTCTCTATCAAAATAAGAATATTAAAAATAATGATCTGAACATGAAGTTGTCTTACTGCCGTGGAATAGAGGTTAAGAAAACACAGCTCCAGTAAATGAATTAACATTTACCAAATTTTGGCTTCATAATTCTAGTGAGAAATCTTTACATTTCTTTTTTCCTGCAAAAATCTCTAGATCCTTCATGCCCTTGGAGAGGCAGGTATGTCTCTGTGATTAAATATGTAATTAGCTCCTTTAGTATTAGCAATATATTATGGAGACATTCAAATTTACATTTATACATTACCAGTACACATTTACATTGTATACAAGCTCACCATTAGGTTCCTGAGTTAGGTGGTACCTATTCTGATATAGCTAAAATAATTATACTAAAATGAGCATAAAATACACATAAATCCTGTCTCATAACTCAAGTTAAAAATATCTCAAAGAATGTTTTCTTATTAAAATTCACATACATTTTTCTTACAAGGGAGTTATTATTCTGCATTGTACCATGTATATCATTATAAACTTGGAGTTCATTGACAGAGCTGCAAATCAAGTCAATTTCATTAGCTCAGCAGGACTTCAGGAAGCTTTTCTCCCTCTGCGAACATAAGCTCAGAGGTTAGCTTTGGGCCCTGAGCTGGGTTCCTGGTCCCTCAGGAACCCAGGGGGTTCCTCTCTGTGAAAAGGTGGGGTCTTCTCATGGAGAAGCATCCTTACCTGAGGCCCTCGCCCTCCGGCGAGTGCTGTTTGCAGTACTCTAGAGTATAGGTCTCAGTGGCCTCCGGGTTGGCAGACTGCCATCGGATGGTGGCCGTGTTCCAACACACGGTACAGTCCTCGACACGGATCACAGGGGTGGAGGGTGCTGTAGACAGAGAACCAAGTCAACTGTGGAGCAATCAATGCCAGTTCTGCTTCCCTGGAAGCTGGGAAGAAAGCTTTGGTATGATTGTATTTTATTTTTTGATGAAAAAATACATTTTGGGTTAAAAGCCCCAAAGGTATAAAAATATACATAGTGAAAAATCTCACTCCCACTTTGCCCTCCACAGTGCCCAGTTTTCATCCATCCCCCAAACAATTCCAATATTAGCTTCTTATAAATGTTACCCAAGTTTCTCTAGACTTATATAGGCAAATAAAAATAAAGACAAATGCCCCCTTCCCTGTACCCAAAAGGTAGCCATAATCTTGCTTTCAGCGAGTGCTTGATAAATGTTTTAAAGGCAAGAAGAAAAGACAGAAGAGTAGGAGTAAGTCATTTATTTCCCTGAGGTGGTTACGCTTACCTTAAAGGCAATTTGAACTAGGTTTATGCTAATGATTGCTTCAGCCTCTGGTGGAAAGACTCCATCATGGGAATGCTTTCTCAGCTAATACTATCGTTGAAAACCCTTTTTGAGGCTCCAAGCACCCATATGACAAAGCCCGAGCTTCTAATCCATTTCTTTTTTTAATATATTTTATTGATTATGCTATTACAGTTGTCCCATCTCCCCTCCTTTATTCCCCTCCACCCTGCACACACCCTCCCACCCACATTCCCCCCCCTTTAGTTCATGTCCATGGGTCATAAGTTCGTGAGCTTCTACATTTCCCATACTATTCTTGCCCTCCCCCTGTCTATTTTCTACCTACTGTCAATGCTACTTATTCTCTGTACCTTTTCCCCCTCTCTCCTCCTCCTACTCCCCTGTTGATAAATCTCCATGTGATCTCCATTTCTGCGGTTCTGTTCCCATTCTAGTTGTTTGCTTAGTTTGCTTTTGTTTTAGGTGTGGTTGTTAATAACTGTGAGTTTGATGTCTTTTTACTGTTCATATTTTTTATCTTCTTTTCCTTAGATAAGTCCCTTTAACATTTCATATAATAAGGGCTTGGTGATGATGAACTCCTTTCACTTGACCTTATCTGAGAAGCACTTTATCTGCCCTTCCATTCTAAATAAAAGCTTTGCTGAATAGAGCAATCTGAGATGTGGGTCCTTGCCTTTCATGACTTGCAATACTTGTTTCCAGCCCCTTCTTGCCTTCAAGATCTCTTTTGAGAAATCTGCTGACATTCTGATGGGAACTCCTTTGTAGGTGATTGTCCCCTTATCTCTTGCTGCTTCTAGAATTCTCTCCTTCATTTTAACTTGGGTAATGTAATGATGATGTGCCTTGGTGTGTTCCCCCTAGGGTCCAACTTCTTTGGGAGACTCTGGGCTTCCTGGACTTCCTGGAAGTCTATTTCCTTTGCCAGATTGGGGAAGTCCTCTTTTATTATTTGTTCAGATAACTTTTCCACTTGTTGCTCTTCCTCTTCCCCTTCTGGTACCCCTATAATTCGGATGTTGGAATGTTTAAAGAGATCCTGGAGGTTCCTAAGCCTCTTCTCATTTTTTTGAATTCTTGTTTCTTCATTCTTTTCTGTTTGGTTGTTTCTTTTTTCCTTCTAGTCTACTCCATTGATTTGAGTCCCAATTTTCTTCCCATCACCATTGGTTCCCTGTGCATTTTTCTTCATTCCATTTAGTGTAGCCTTCGTTTTTTCATCTAACTTGTGACCAAAATCAACCAATTCTGTGAGCATCTGATCACCAGTGCTTTGAACTATGCATCTGATAGGTTGGCCATCTCTTGGTTGCCTAGATGTATTGGCTCTGGAGCTTTGATCTACTCTTCTGTTTGAGCCATTTTTTTTTCGGTCTGGTCACGCCTGGTACATATGAGGGGTGGAGCCTTAGGTGTTCACCAGGGCGGGGCAACCCAGTCACTGTAGGTGGGGGCAGGGTCAGACAGGGAACAACAGCACTTGCTCCGCCCTTGTATTTCAGTCCCTCCCGCTGCTTCCCACAAGCAAATTGGGCCCTTCTGGTGCTGGTTCCCGGGTGGGTGGGCTTGTGTACGTTCTAGGACCCTGTGGGTCTCTCCAACAAACTCTCTTGTGAGGCTAGGAGTGTCTCCTGGCACCTCAATCTCCACATGTGTTTTCAATCGGTGCTTTTAGGTTTTATTTCCCGGAGCTGGAGCCCTGGGTTCTGTGGTCTGTCTTGCTACCTGTTTTCACCTGGTTTATCTGCACTCAAATCTGTGTCCACGGTCAGCCAGCAGCCTTGCATGCCTCACTGGGTCTTCCCATTGCCACCCTGTGCTCAGGGTCTGCCAGCCACTGCCTGCGCGCCTGGGACCGCCAGCCACAGCTTTTTCCTGCGGAGACCCCTCTCTGCTGGCTGCCAACTCTGCCCCTCTTACCGGTCTGGGTGAATGGTTGTCGGACTTCCATACAGTTCAATTTTCTGTCAGATCTGGTTGTTTCTTTGTTTCTAAATTTTTTTTGTCCTTAATTTTGGTTGTGCAAGGAGGCACAGTGTGTCTACTCATGCCTCCATCTTAGCCGGAAGTCCCTATAAGCCATTTCTGATTCTGCCCCAGCCCCAGCCTGTCTCCAGGACCCCTCTGGAGTGTTCTCACAATAACCTGTGTATAACTGGGCCAGGGGCCTTACCACCAATTTTTTAGAATCGTCTATTTTGTATCTCCCCCACTGGATTATGAGCTTCTTGAGCACAGGAACCCAGCCTTATTCATTGTATACCCGGAAATACAGAACACCCAACATGCAATAGGTGTCAATAAATGCTTGTTGGCTGATATTAACAGTCTGTGAAGAATTGAGTATTGCCCCCTAACTCCTTAATATGTCCTTACCTGTTCTAAAAATTGCCCTTTCACTGGGCAGGCTACATCCAGTGAAGTTCACAGCCATTACCCACACTTGATAGTATCGGTCAGGTTCCAAATCTTCAAAAATGCAGTAGCTTTCTTTCACTGTAACTCTGTATTCTTCTACCAAGTCTAGTATAAAACAAAATAATAAATTCTAGGGTGTCTTTCAAAGTTAACTGAAAGTTACTGTTATTGGAAAAAATTGTTCTATGACTTTTTTCAGTGGAAAACCCAAACTGATAAACTTACAGATATCATTATGTGATAGCTATAATTTTAGAATACATAAGAATGCAATAGCATTCTGAAAACAGATATTTAGAATGACATAGTATTCCTTGTAAACACTTATCAAAAAATAACAGTATTTTGTGAGATTCTTTTTTATCTTTTTGTTTTTATTATTTTAATTATACTTTTTATAAGATTCTGAGCTTCATATAAATACTATAATTGAACATTTCAATAGCAAATACTAAAATTGCCGAGTTTATGTTAGCTTAAATCTCCATAATACATTCTCAAGATAATCCCTGAGAAGCAAAGACAATATTTTTGGAGAGTATGTAATAAAATAGGACAACTTCATACTTTCCAAACTTATGATGGTATAAAGCACCTTTACGCCCTGGCTGGCATAGCTCAGTGGATTGAGCGCAGGCTGGGAACCAAAGTGTCCCAGGCTCGATTCCCAGCCAGGGTACATGCCTGGGTTGCAGGCCATAACCCCCAGCAACCGCACATTGATGCTTCTCTCTCTCTCTATCTATCTCCCTCCCTTCCCTCTCTAAAAATAAGTAAATAAAATCTTTTAAAAAAAAGCATCTTTACAGATTATTAAACTATTTTAGTATTCAGTATAATTTTAAAAGGTTCCAATTCTGGTTCCTTCTCATGAATTTCAGAATTCTTTCAACTAGAGATTTCTACAATTTAGAGAAACACTTAAATCTTTGATAGGTCACAAACTATTCTAAGAAGCAACTTTGTTCAATGAAAATATTTCCTAAAATTTATCTTACTTTACTTTCAATATTTTAGTAGTAAATATTACTCAATACCATTGTTAACACTGGTCCCTTTGGGCCAATCAGATTATTTTTACTGAAAGTTTCTCTCCTTAAAAAGAACAATTTAAAAAATTAGTTATGGTAATTTCAGTTATCCTCTCTTGTTACTCTTGAATATCACATCTTCAAAACCCCTCCAGTTAAGAACTCCAGGCTGTTTCATTTTAAAGGATATTTAGGAGCACTTCAACTCAGCAGGTTTCTTTAACTGCATCTCTCTTTCCCAATGAGTTATACATTCTGGACATTATGTTTGGTTTAAATGTTAAAATGACTTAAACACTGAAAACATTTCCCCCATAGTCTATATAGTATGACTGTGATTTTCAATGGGATCATCCTTTCAGGCTAAGTTCTGTTACCCCAGTACTTTCAACGGCGTATATAACATATATTACTGGACACCTATTTCACACGGCATGGTAACACAGTGTAGATCATCAGATTAATTAAATGGCATTAGCAAAATTCAAGGCATTGAATGAACAAGACAGAGTAAGTGTTCAGGGAATGGTGGGGGCAGGTGAAGCACTTAAAAAAAACTACTCCAGGCAACAAAGAGTTAGTAAGAGGAATCTTGGAGAGCCATGAAGTCCCATGATATAACTGAATATACAGGGAGATGAAGTGTGGTAGAGTAGCCCACCACTTATCTGAAATAAATGTGTTCCAAGACCCCCAAGGGATGCCTCAAACTGTAGATAGTACCAACCCCTAATAAACTAAGGTTTTTCCAATACATACATACCTGTAATAAAGTTTAGTTTATAAACTTGGCACAGTAAAAGACTAATAATAATAACTAATAGTAAAATATAACAATTGTAACCATATACTATAATAAAAGTTATGTGAGGACTTCTGGTCAAGATGGCAGCATAGATAAACATGGCTCATTCCCTCACACAACTATCAAAATTACAACTAAATTATAGAACAACCATCACTCAGAGCCAGCAGAAATTGAGTTGAATGGAAATCTGACAACTATAGAATTAAAGAAACCCATCCATCGTCTGGTAGAGTGATGGAGATGAGGAATGGGCTGGTCCCACATCAATGTGTGGTGGATAAAAATTTGGGAGGGATATCTGAGGAGCAAGGTGTCCTAGCCCCACACCAGGCCCCACAACCCAGGGTTCCAGTGCCAGGAAAATAAGTCCCCATAACTTCTGTCTGCAAAAACCAGCAGGGACTGAGTTGGTGGAAGAAACTTCTGGAGTCCCAACCAGTTTCTCTTAAATAACCCACACACAAAATTACTCAGACTCACTTTCTCTGAGCTCCAGCACTGGGGTAACTGCTTGAAAGGCACCAGTGGCATACAGGGAAGAACTGAAGTAACCAGCATCAAGGAAAGTGCAAGGATACAGCTTCCTTTCAGACAGAAAGGTGGGCAGAGACACAGAACCAGTCGGTGGGTGCCATATCTGAGATTCCATCAACCTGGTTAATACTGCTTGTCCCACCCTGGAGATCCCCTGAGGCTTCGTCCCATCCAATTTGTACTGTTAACAGTAGTTTTTTCATGTGAATGGCTCGTCTTGGCTCATGTTTCACAACTTCCTAAATTATTTCAAACAGGCAACAACTGGCCCCAGTGTGCCTCCAGCCCCCTGTACCTCTTGCTACCTGGCCCCAGGCATGGAACTAGCAGCAGCCAGCATAGAGTCACAGCTTGGCTTCACCTGGGAATCTCCAAGCCCAGCTAGTAGCAGCCATTTTTAGATTGCTGTATAGCTCAGGCAGAGTAGCCCAGGGCTGGTGTGGTGAGGGCTGACCTTGGCCTGCACTACCTGGGAAACCCAAGGGCCTGTACACCCAGTGGCCAGCAACAGACCACGTTGGAGCACCACCACTCTGCCCCGGCACAGTTGATCCTCCACACAGGGTGGAAGTTGGTGGTCAGTGGTCACACCTAATCCTACAGCTGACTGGCCTGGGTATATCCTTCCCTTTGATCTGCCAACAACAACTAAGGCTCAACTACAAGAGGTGGGTGTACTCAGCCCATACAAAGGGTACACCTCGCATACCCAGCTCGAGTGATAGGGGAGGTTGTGCCACTGGACACTAGAGGACACCTAACACATTAGGCCATACTATCAAGACAGGGAGTCATAGCAACTCTACATATACATTGAAACAAATACAAGGAGGCTGCCAAAATGAAGAGACAAAGAAAAAGGGCCCAAATGAAGAACATCAAAACTCCAAATAAAGAACTAAATGAAATGGAGATAAGCAATCTATCAGATGCAGAGTTCAAAACACTGGTTATAAAGATGCTCAAGGAACTTAGTGAAGACATCAATAGCATAAAAAAGATCCAGTCAGAAAGAAAGGATACACTAATTGAAATAAAGAACAATTTACAGGGAATCAATAGTAGAGTGGATGAAGCTGAGAATCAAATCAATGATTTGTAACATAAGGAAGCAAAAAACAACCAATCAGAAAAAGAAGAAAAAGGAATCCAAAAAAAGATGATAGTATAAGCAGCCTCTGGGACAACTTCAAGAGGTCCAACATTCACATTATAGGAGTGCCAGGAGGAGAAGAGAAAGAACAAGAAATTGGAAATCTATTTGAATAAACAATGAAAGAAACTTCCCTAATTTGCTGAAGAAAATAGACGTGCAAGCCCAAAAAGCACAGAGAAGAAGAAAAGAAAAAAGAAACAAAAAGCACAGAGAGTCCTAAACCAGATGGACACAAAGAGGCCCACTACAAGACACATCATAATTAAAAAGCTAAAGGTTAAAGATAGAGAATCTTAACAGCAACAAGAAAAAAGCAGTGAGTTAACTACAGGGAAGTTCCCATAAAGCTGTCAGCTGATTTCTCTAAAGAAACATTGCAGGTTGCAAGGGACTGGCAAGACATAGTCAAAGTCATGAAGAGCAGGGACATATGGCCAAGACTGCTCTATCCAGCAAAGCTATCTCTTAGAATTGAAGGGCAGATAAAGAGCATCCCAGACAAGAAAAAGCTAAAGGAATTCATCATCATCAAACCATTATTATATGAAATGTTAAAGGGACGTATTTAAGAAAAAGAAGATCAAAATTATGAAAAATAAAATGGCAATAAATAATAATAATAATAATAATAATATCAACATTTGAATCTGAAAAACTAAGCAAGAAAGAACAGAGACAGAATCAGGGATATGGAGAGCATTCTGATGGTTGTCAAATGGGAAGTGGATGGAGGAGAATGGGTGAAGAGATGAGGGGGTTAAGAAGTACAAATAGATAATTACAGAATAGCCATGGTGATATACAGTGCGGTATAGGGAACGGAGTAGCCAAAGAACTTATACACATGACTTATGGACATGAACAATGGTGGGAGATTGCCTGAGGTAGTGGGGGCTGCTGGGTGGAGGGGGGCAAAGTGGGAAAATTGGGACAACAGAAATAGCAAAATCAATAAAATATAATTTTAAAAAAGTTATATGAATGTAAATGTAGTCTCTCTCTCAAAATATCTTATTGCACTATACTCAGCTTTTCACCTAAAGGAATCTGTAATATCCAAACTGCCATCACTACTCTTCTGCTTTTATTAAGTAAAAAAAGAGTTACTTGAACACAAGCACTGCAATACTAGGACAGGCAATCTGATAACCAAGATAACGGCCCCTGTGTGACTAAGGGGCAGGCAGCACACCCAGCATGGATATGCTGGACAGATGTATGATTCACATCCTGGGCAGGATGGGGCAAAACAGCATGGGATTTCATTACACTACTCAGAATGGCATGCAATTTAAAACTTAGGAATTGTTTATTTCAGGAATTTTCTGTTCAGTATTTTCAGACTGAGGTTGACTATGGGTAACTCAAAACTCAGAAAGTGAAACCTCCAGTATGAGGGGACTACTATATAGCAAAATAAACACAGAGCCAAGTAAACAATAATATAAGCTTTGCAGTGTCCTGCTTCTTTGAAGCAAAGCTTGAGTATGCTTTGCTAGATAAGCAATGTTCTATCCTGCGAAAGATGTTTGAGTCCTGCCCCTGTTAAGTATAAGTTGTATGGCCTTGGGTGAATTATTTAACATCATGTCTGTTTTCTCATTTGCCAGTAGGGATAATAGCACTTATCTTGATGTGTTATCACAGCCATATGCTAATAGGTTCCCAGTAAAATTGAAATTCTTATGGACAAATCCAACTTTACACTATACCAATGGGTGCTTTTCTTACCTTTTTTCTAATTTAAGTAAGAATCAAATGACATCTCGGAAGACTTAAATATTGGCAACAGTGAAATATATTATAATTAATTCTTACTACAAATTGGACTCCTGTGGCATGTCAATCCTGCCACATAATTGTCTGGTTTCTGAAATACAGGGTGGGGCAAAAGTAGATTTAAGGTCGTTTATATAGAAGATAATGCAATAATTAATAAATAGTAATACAAGAATAAACTCTGTTTCACATACTCACAACTGTAAGTCTACTTTTGCCCCACCGTGTTACACGGATCTGTCTTCAACAAGCAACAGAACTCCAGCACTTCCAGCTCTGAGTCATCAGTGAGTACAACCTCAAACTGCTTGGTTTCTAGTCTGGTTAGAAGTCCTACTAGACAGAAGATATTTACAGAGGCTCAACGATAAGACAGGCCATCCGCTCACCCTGCTAAGCTCTTTCACCTCTATCTGCACATTCATATGGGGCACTGAAAGACTACACCGCACCTAGGCCCATGCCTTAGAAGTGTGAACTCTGAAATAACCTTTATAGTTTGTTTACAGCTTTTATCCAAGATGGACCTGAGAAAATGCCAACCATGACATCCAATGGTGCATCTGCATTAAAATTATTAGAGGTCGGTGCCCCATGCAGCTCATCTGTCCTCCACGAAGTGGCACATGATACGCTTGTGCTTTGACCTCAGTACTGATTGATACTTTGTTCTCCTTGAAACTCTTGTACATTACTTGCTTTCTGACAATGAGAATCAGTTCATTGTTTCTGTAACCCTGACAGCTCAAAGTCAAATCTGAGTCTCAATTGCAATAATGCACATTGACCATTGTGATGATATTTATGTATTTTTGTTTTCCCTTACCCTGATTTCCAAATTTTGCTTATATGTTAGTTCATTATATAGTTGTTGGTTTGTTGTTGTTTTTATATGTGGCTATGAGTGCTTTATGGAAAGAGCCATAATATGCAGATGTTTAAATAATCACATTAAGATGCAGAAATGTACACATGCACCTGTATTTGTATTAGCAAGCCTACCGTTTACTTCTTGGTCATCTTGTGGCTCCTCCATGCAGTAAACCTGGAATGAGTCGATGACATCTTCCTTGTTTATGCTCCAGTAAACCGCGATTGTTGTGCTGGTAGCAGAATTTGGTTCCTGAGGTTCTAACCTAGGAGGCTGTGGAACTGGAATATAAGCAAAATTTATTATAACTAATGTTTTTATTGATTGAGTTTTTTCTTTTTTCAAAAGTCACTTATGAAAAATTCAAACAATACAGAAACACATGGAGTAAAACTGGGAGGTCTCCTTTGTTTCCCAGACATCCCTACCCCTCACCCCAAGGATTTTCTACTGTTACAGCTGAGTATATATTCCCCCCAAATGTTTTTCTATGCAAATGTATATATGTACATATAACACACACACAAACAAATAAAAATGAAACCCTAAGTGGGATCACTTGAGAATATTCTTCTACAGCCTTATATTTAGAGAAATTAACTTATACAGGTAGAGGACACATCAGATGACTTGGCTTTTCTTTGAAGCAAAGCTTGAGTATGCTTTGCTAGATAAGCAATGTTCTATCCTTCTACATCAATATAGAGTCTACATTCACAGTAGAGACAAATGAAACCCTTTTTGGCTACAGGTGCTATATCATCAAGGCTGAAAAAGAATTCTGTGACTAAAATAACAAAGGACACTTTCTGAAACCGCTATCCTATTGTCTCTTTCCAGCATGACCATACCTACAAATTAAAAAGAAATGTAGCCCTGGCTGGCATAGCTCAGTGGATTGAGCATGGGCTGCGTGCGAACCAAAGCATCGCAGGTTCAATTCCCAGTCAGGGCACATGCCTGGGTTGCAGGCCACGACCCCCAGCAACTGCACATTGATGTTTCTCTCTCCCTCTCTTTCTCCCTCCCTTCCCTCTCTGGAAGTAAATAAATAAAATCTTAAAAAAAAAAAAGAAATGTAAACCAAATGTAAAAATTACATAGGGGGAAAGTATCCTATTAACTGATTCAAATATAAGGTTTAGCTATCTGGTATAATTCTAATGTTCTGAATTTTTTTTAAGATTTTAATTATTTATTTTTTTAGAGAGGGGAAGGGAGAGAGAAAGGAGAGAAACATCAGTGTGTGGTTGCCTCTCAAGTGCCCCCTACTGGGGACCTGGCCCACAACCCAGGCATGTGCCCTAGATTGGGAATCAAACTGGCAACCCTTTGGTTCACAGGCTGGCACTCAGTCCACTGAGCCACACCAGCCAGGGCTATTGTTCTGAATTTTAAAGACAGCAATATTTTCAAGTGTTTTACTAGATTTGAGTTTAAATTTTGCATATTGGACATTAACAGTATATACAACACTATAAGTTAAGCTCCTATGTAATTCTTTTCTAAAAGTTTTGAGATATAAAAGCACTGAACATATTATACAAATTAAAGGAAAAGGTTATTCTCATAGTTGAAAAGATGTCATGCTTTTAAATTTATTTTTGTGGTTATTTTTCCAGTCAACAATTTCCTAAGAGATAAGTGTACTAAAAGAGTGTGAGCCAAATTTTGTGAGATTACTTTATTAAGAGTCAACACTGGATGAAAAGAAAACAAAGTTAGCTCAACAAGGGGTTTAAAACAAGGGAAAATAAAAGGCTCTACAGAATGGAACAAAAAGATGTTGAAAAGATTCAATAGAGATAAAGAGCTGAACAAATACACAGGTATAAAAAATAAGAAGCAGGGTAAGAGAGTGGTCAAGTTCATGGGCTTTGGAGCACAGAGGCTGGTCTAAGGTAAAATGCCAGAACTCCCTCTGATTAGTTGTGTTATTTTAGCTTCAGCTTTCCCATATTTAAATTGGGAATACAATACCATTTCCTCCCAGGGTTGTTCTAAGAAGCAACATAATGTATGTATATTAAGTGCTTAGCAAAGTGCCTGACACATAACCAATACTAACATCCAGAAAGTAAATGGCCTCGGCAGGAGCACAGAAAATGGAGGGGAGGGGGCAAGAAACCCCTTAAAATGGGGGTGTACTCGGAATCCACCATCAGTAAATCACGGAGGGACTTCGGAGGCAGGGCACGCTAAGCAGCCTGCAGGATAAGGCAGGAAGCCTGCCTGTCAGAGCACCTTCCCGAGGACTGATCATGGTTCAGACATCCTTATGCTGTCTTTGACTTCACTGTTTGTCTTCCCAGCAGGAAATCAGCGTCACATTCTAAAGGAGTCCATCCAGATAAATGCAGTGCCATAAGTTTTCATGTTGCCCAGGTTTACTGAAGAGCCCAGCAGAATGCTTCAGCTGCTGTCAGCTGTCTCTCAGACAGCGCATCAGAGCTCCTTGAGGCAGAGACAATGAACATTCTCCTGCTTTTTTTTTAATGAATTATACATTGAGTGATATCTGCTTTTTAAAAATGGTTACATCTTTTCAAAAATCTCTCTTAGGTAGCTTAACTAACTGAAAAACTAATAATTGACCTACTCCCATCACCAAATTTTAAGGAAGAAGCAGTTGTAGGGAATTAAGCAAAATATGTAGGCTAGAAATAATTTTGTACTTAATGTGCTCCTTCTTCCCCCCCAAAAAAACATTACAGTTAGGATATCTTTTTTCGAAAACAGAAAATACTCTTGCTTTTCAAAGCATTCTAAAATTGAAAAGGGAATAAGAATATTTCATAGATGTAATCTAATAACAATGCTGGATTTACAATTCCTGGGATAGATGAACACCAGAGGCCCAGATTTTATATGTTAACAACTCTGTTTACAAGTAATGAACTTGAATAGGAGTAATGCCCAAAATGAGAAAATGGAATTTTAAGGCATCTTTACCAGAGACTAAGAAATTGGGCAGAAGAATCACCAGCATGGATTCCCTCTGCCTGATGAAGTGTCCCATAAAGGGCTGTCACACTAAGGGAGCTGAGCATTAGATCAACTTGGACGTCAGGGCCTGAAATTCCCACTCAACCCAGCTTCCAAAGAAGTCCCCAGAAAGCAGCATTGTTCACAGCAGCCAAAAAGTGGAAGGAACCTAAGGTACACTGATGGGTGGATGAATAAGCAAAATGTAGTATAGATGTACAATGGAATATTATTCAGTCTTGAAAAGGAAAAAATTTCTAACACATGCTACAACATGGATAAGCCTTGAGGACATTATGCTAAGTGAAATGAGCTAGACAAATACTATTCTACCTATGTGAGTTACCTGGAGCAGTTACATTCATAGAGATTGAAAGCAGAATGGTGGCTGCCAGGGACTGGGTGGGGGGTGGGGAGTTATTTAATGGGTACAGAGTTTCAGTTCTGGAAGATGAAAAGGATTCAGGAGATGTATGGTAGCGATGGTTGTACAACAATGTGAGTATACTTGACACCACTGAACTGTACACTCCAAAATGATTAAAATGGTAATTTTTACATTATGCTTATTTTATCACTTTTTTTTAAAAAAAGGCTCCAGGAGCCAGAGTCAAGGAAGCTTTGGTTGTCACTAATCTATAGCTACCTCTCCTTTCATAGCAATGCACTTGGCCTCTTGGGCACAGAGCAGTGGTTCCAGCGCAGGCTCTGACGCCAAACACCTCCACCACCCTCACCCCCAATAGCTGTGCCTCTAGGGCGATGTGAGGGTCATTTTTCTGTTCTTTCTATTTCCTCACCTGGCAAATGGGAATAACAATAAAACCTACTCCTAGGGTTGTTTTGAGATTGATAGTTTAGGCTTAAAAGCTACAGTGCCAGGCAGTATATTAAGCGTGGAATAAATGTTTATGGAAAATCACATCCTTTCCTCATTTGTGTCTGTTTAGTTTAGGGAGTGATCTAATTAACTTTTCAGGTACTAGGTGAGGACTGTGTATCTAAGAGGTGTCATTGATCACAAAATGAACAAAAACTAGCAACAAGTCAACACCCTGGGCTCCAATTTCTTGAAGCAGATGCACAAACCACAGCATTTATCTCTCAGAGATCAGTTTCTCCAAAACAACTTAAAACTACTGGGACTGCCACAGGTGCTATGCCGGAATGACAATGTAACTCTGTGACCTCTATATCTATAAAATGTCTTTTCATTGCCCACTAGGTATTCCAAACAAAAATCCATTTAAAAGAACAAAGGCATATAATGAATCCCTTAAAAGCAGAACATCTACTCTGCGAATCAGAATTCCTTAGTTTGCAATCATAGCTCTATGCATATGCCTCTTAAAGGCATTAGAAGAAAACACCCTTTTGTTTTGAGACATTTCTATAGGAAATCCATTAGGATAAATGACTACATTTTTCATTTTATATAGGGTTGGTTGGTTGTTGTCTTTTTAAAGACCCAGTAGCCTTTTACCAGTTACTAAATTAACACTCTTCTTACAGGAATGAAAGTTACTTGTCAACAAGCAACAGCCATCTTTAAGGTGGTTTTGAAAGAACATAGCATCTTTTAGAGAGAACATCTGAGTACACTTTACAGTAAGTGAAACTTGGTAACTTGACGGAAACACGGCAGCTTTGAGAAATGTAAATAAGTTTCATTGTCTTGTTTGTTAAAATAGCACATTAAAAAAACACTTTGAAGAGCCAGCAAAATGCTGCTGACAGTTGAGTGGGAGGCCCCTGGCTACAGAACACGGTGCCGAGCTGTTAATTTTCTGAACTAGTGTGTTTAGTTTTTTGAAAAGGAAAAAGAACTCAATTGGAGAGGGGAAAACCACTCATAAGGAAAATTCTATTCAATACATGGGAAAATATTTGATTTATATTTCCTTCTATAGCTGGCTGCTGGCATGTGGCACATACTCTTTAGAAGAGGGAGAGCAAAACTCTATTTGACAAAGGAAAATAAACAGAGACCATTTGGTTCCTTTGCTGCCTCCTCCCGCCTCCCTGCCATCCCAGCGCAGGTATGGGCTTCAAATGGAAACGCAGTTCATAACCGAAATGGTGTGCTGGTCTCGTGCTTTATGGCAGAATCTAGCTTTAAATGTTTATTAAGAAGATTTCCCTTTTTCCAGTTATATTTCCTTACATTCAAAAACTTTATAGAACACATCAAGGAAAAACCATCAAATTTCACCCAGGTATTTAATGTATTAAAATTCCTACCAGCCACTTGTTTTACTATCTGGTCGCTTCTCGCTGAGTTGTCATCATAATGTTCAAAAAGTGAGAATGCAGCAGGCATTTTCTCTAAAGAAGCGGTACTCTCCATGGCAGAAAGCAGCCTATTGGGGGAAAATAGTTCTATGTAAGTCAAGACATTATTAGCACACAGAGTGAAAGCGAAAACAATTGTCCAAAGATGAAGTTGTTGTTGTTGTTGTAGTTTTTGTGAGCCATTGTATCCGAAAAGGATCTCAACTATTTCAAAGTCTAGAAATACATGTTTAAAATCGATTTATTCTTAGAATTTTTTTGGTGTAATTGCTAATCTTAGAAATTCCATTCCTATATCCTCAAGTCTGATTAGATTCTATCAAATTATGTGGTTTTTCATTTTGCATCTATAAAATTAGTCCTGCAAATTACTACGTTTTAATGATTCTTTTTCTTTCTTTCCTAAAGATACAAAGGTTCAGAACCCATCTGGAAATTCACACACTGTATGATGTCTTTGCTGTTCTCAACCCTAACTATTATGCTTTTCGTCATTTAGACTTTCAAAAAACATATTCACCTACTATGTGCCAGGCTCTGTCCTGGGTAGCAGGGATACAGCACTAACGGAGGATAAAGTCTATCCATTCTTAGAAGACTAAACAAGCCACAGTTTATAAAATAATAGCTTTTATTAATAGCCTTTATCAACCTTCTAAGGAAAGATGCCAACACATACAAACTTTTAGCATTTGTACCTAGGTGAAATCTAGGTTTAAAAAAACAAAAAACAGAACCAAACCTTGATTCTGCAGAGGGAGAGAAAAAGAGATGGCAAAACATTTATCTCCAGCTCGAGGGGCCTCAACTCGGGTTAGGCGCTCTCCTCTGTGGCACCTCCCTTACAGAAGCTGGGAACTGTCTTCCGGCAACTGAACAGCTTCCAGGAACCCCACTGGTCTCAGCACCATGGAACTGGGGTTTTGGTAGCACAGGGCCTCAGCCTTTGCACTGGCTGTGGGAAATGTCTCCTCCTAGATGCCTGTATGGCTCATTTCTCTCTGAATTTAGGGCACTGTTCAAATTTCAGCTCCTTAAAAAGGGGAGCCCTGAGTGCACCAACCGGGGTGCCTCTGCCCTCTGTCCCTTACTCTGCTGCATTTTACTTCGCGAGCTGGTTGTGACCTATTTGTTTTCGTCTGTCCACTGCACCAGAATATAACCTACATGCAGGAAAGGACTCTGTTTTCTTCCCTAGTGTATTGTAATGTGATACTCGATACACAGTAGGCATTTAATAAATATACTTTGAATGCATAAGAGGGTAAAGTTTTATTTGGGTGAGAATATCAGGATCTCAGGTCTGGTAAATTTTTTTTATCAATTGAGGGAAAAAGATTATAAAATATAACTGAAATTTTAAAGAGTGCCTACTATGCTTACTAGTGTGAGGGATAATAAAAATCACAATCATTTGATTTAGGGGAGATGGTTCTGATAGGGGCTTCAAAGAGGAGGTGACATCTGGGCTGAGTCTTGAAGAATAAGGAGGAGTTTCTGAGGCAGAATCGGGAGTAAGGAGGATGCAGAGAGAACAGCGTGGATAAAGGCATGGCGTTGTAACAGAGTATGATGGCACGTCCAAGAGCCAAAGGTGACCCTGGACTACCTTGAGAATTAGGAAATGGAGACAGAGATGAAACAGAAAGGTGGCTTGTGGTGTGACTGCGATGAGCCTTTCGTGTCCACCCAGAGTTTCCACTCTCTCCTTGAAGGCAGGGAGAGCCACAGAAGTGCTCACACAAGGGGACTTGTGTGGAAGGCCCTGGGAGGAGCCTGAGGAAGGACCAGAGCAAGCAGACCAGAGGTGGTGGGGTCAGCATAGAGGACTCCATGGGGCTCCAGGCGAGGGAAACCATGGAGACTAACTTAAGGCTTTGGGGATGCAGGAGAAATGACAGACTCAGAATTAACATGCGTCACTGACTAAATGGGGGACTTTTTGTAGCACAAAAACTCTGGTTGAGTTTTCCCTTATGCACTGATCTGTTCAATTTTAATATCAAATATATAAAAGGGCAAGTGAACAATTTTTATGAGCAGGTCCCACAATGGTTATGACTCGCTTTTTCATTGTTGTAACACAAAAGAGCACAACAGAAAAAAAGAGAATGCATCCTTTCAACCAAACAGCATTTTCTAAGTAAATATGGTTTTCAAAATATGCAGATTTTCAGTCTAAATATGGTTGACAGCATTCCTTCACTGAAGCACTTTCAGGGTTAAGAGAAATCATTTACTATACAAACAATGCCTTTAGAGATATAATACAAAGAGAGAAAAAGCAATAAGGTTAACAACAAGACTAGATAACTAGCACTTCTCAGAGAAAGGAGCATTGGTGGCATTGAGACCTTGACGTGGAAGTCATCCTGAGGACATGAAGGGCTTCTTCACAGTGAAACAATCGAGCTTCCTCACATGTGTATGCACACATATCTGCATGTTTAACAGCGTTTTCTTTGATCATATTTCTTCACCAATCTCAATTATTGCTGTCTTTTTTTCTTTACAGAAGATAATGCTAATCCTAAGAGTAATTTCCGTGAAGTGACATGCAGCTTTAGCAAAGATTAATTCATTTTCCATTGGTCAATGAAATCAAAATTAATTCAAATGACACACAGATGAACAAGGTCAAGCACAAAACCAAAGAAATAGTATTTAGAATTAAATGGATGTCAATTCATATTAGCGAGTTAATATGCTAATGTTTAAAAACATAAAAATGTACTGCAACATTTTTACGGTAAAAGCACTTGCAAATTTTCATTCATTAAATTTTCCTGCCAATTGGTGTCCTCCATGAGTGCATGAAATATAAATAAGCAAATATGTAGTGATATATTTCCTTATATACATGTCCAGTGTATAAGAAGTGGCACTGTAAATCCATATACTTTTTGGATCAAACTAAGTATCAACAGTATGTAGAAGAAATGTATAGTCTTTTAAAAACAAAGGACATGGGGAACAAGACATGGGTATCGGTTTCTAGACACGCCCGGTGAGCCTCGGACTCCTGCGTGAGAACTGCAAAGTGTGCAGGTGCCACGGCCCTCCTTGGGTTCATGGGCAGTGGATCTGGCTGGGGCTGCAGGGCTCTTGTTGAACAAACTGCACGGCTAATTCAGGCACAGCCAGTTTGGGAAACCACTGAACCAGAGGGCAGACTGTTAGAAACCAGAGGTTCTCAGCCCTGGCTGTGCATCAGCATCATCCAGGAAGCTTTAAAAATGCCTGGGTTACACCTCAGACCAATTAGACTAGAATCTCAGGAGAAAATATTGAGTCATCAGTATTTTTAAAAGGTCCATAGGTAATTCTACTTGTAACAGAGCTACTGTAATGAAACTTTTATTGATTAATGCCAATATCTATATACAAATTATTTTCTTAAAACTTATGGCAATATTCTGTTGAATAGATTTTTAAAGGTAAGCAAGTCCATCTGTACTGTTTTTATTATCTAAAAAATCCAAACCCATTCTTTCCATATCTTAATATATCACAAATACAAATTTCTGATTTTACTTTATGATAGTTCACAATTTGGCACTGAACTAAACTGAAGATAATATTCACAAGTTTAGAAATTTACATTAAGGGGGGAAAAGATAAAAATAATAGATTCAACCAGTAGGAAAGACCCTACGTCTTGCTATGGGACCAAGGGAAAAATGTGTCAGACAAGTATAAACATTTCAATATCAGAAGTTCCAAAAGATAAACATAGATCAAATGTTTTTATAGAGGACATTTCCTGAGTTCATGTTAATGCTTTGACTTTAAAAGAATAAAGAATTATTCTTTACACCGAGTGCTAAAAACAACGGCAAAAATAAAACAAATCAAAGGAGGAAGATTCCTTTAGGTGAGCCAAACAGGAAGAGAAGACAAATGCATGCCTATCTTTTGAAGAGAACATGACAGAACATTTCATTAAGTTTATATTAAGTTGTAAAATTACTCAAGGCAAATATGAATGATTCCTTCAAATACTTGTATTTAACTAATAAGTCTAAATATCTTCAAAATGTTCTGTATGCACTGACAGGAAAGGTGGTCTGGATTGATTTGAAAATAGAGACTACATCTCAAGAAAGCAGTTAAAAATCTACATTATAATAATTGTTATTTAACTAAAGCGCATGCAATTTTCTTTCAAAGCTGTCATTTAGCTTTTAAAAGCACTGTGTCTAAAAGTAAAAATCCAGCAGCTCACTAAATGTATGTATTTTTTAATTGGCAGCTCATTTCTCTATAAAGCATCAAAATATTAAACATAAAGCATGGTCATGCTATTCTCGGGTGCCACTATGGTGTGTCATGTTTTATATACCTTTCATTGATTTCCTCAAACGACTTATGAGGGAATAGGGAAGAAGGGGAGAGAGAATGGGGGTGGGGAGGAGAGGGAAAAAGGAAGGGGAGAGGGGGAGGGGGGAGAGAGAGAGAGAGAGAGAGAGAGAGAGAGTTAACAACAACAAAAACCAACCTAGAGCATTAAGGTCATGCATGTTCGAAAATCAATACTTCTCACCCTCCCCTGAAGCTATTTCTCTTGGGAGGCTTCAGCTGGACAGCAAGGAAATTAGTGCTCAGACACGATGGGGAGGGTGGAGGTCAGGGCAGGGATGCAGGGGGCTTTAGTTTCCAGTGCTGCTCTAACTCTCCATGATCAGCAAGGCCAGCAATGACTTGCTTATGCTTTGCTATTCATTAACCAATAGCTTCCAGAATAGAATTCTCCAAGGTGATAAAAATGACTTAAATTTGTTCAATGTAGGATATATACCGAAAATGTAATCAGTAGTTATGTCTGGGTGATACCTGCTCTGTGCTTTTCTGTCTTTTCCAAATTTCCTCAAATGGCTACAGGCTGCTTTTATAATCAGGAAAAAACATGCTTTCTTATTTACAATTTGTTCTTCTAGAGAGAAGAAAATATTCTTATCAAAGAAAAGTAAGGTTCTTAGGGAACACAAAGCGCTTTATTAACATTATACTTCGCAAGGGGTGCCTAATTTTGAAATATTAAAGCTTTGCCTTAACTAAACCTAAAGCATAAAGCAGCTGCATGAGTTCCATTTTGTTTGAGGATGCCATGTTCACCTCACCTACATGTGCCCTGGCTGGAGGTGGCCCCAAGGGCAAGTGAAAAGCCTAACGTGGACCCGTTTTGCCTAGTTCTATCTCCAAACTGTACTAGAGACCTGGGTGGCCTGGGGAGCTTTGAAAGGAAGGTCCCCACTCATTGTAAGATGGTGCTTTTTCCTGGTTTGATAGTTAGGTTTGGGACTGCCCTCAACAAAAATACCTCCATTACTCCTGGTTATTCCTGGCTCCATGGAGATCCCGTATCTTACTGGATGTTCTGGGGAATTAACCTCTGTGGTGCAACTTGAGGAGCACCACCAGGTGCTTGTTTGAATTAAGGAATGTGGTCCCTAGGAAGATCCTTACAAAAACGACATGTTACCTGAGAGAAGTATCACATTATGTCATCCTTTTGCAAGGTGAAAGTGTATCAAATGTTTCTCCTGGCCACTTGGTGAGGCTCAGAGGGAGTGGTCCCCAGGGGAGGTCACCTCAGATTAGGGAGCAGGAGTGGGTAGGTCAGGCCCCGGGGCTGGCATGATGTGCCAGGCACTGGAAGGTCAGGCTGTCCCCAAAGGGAGCATGGCATGAATAAGGTTTTCAGGCTGCTTTTCCTTCCTCCCTCTTAGATGGTGAGCAATCCACTGTGACAGGACAGATGGTGCTGTGCCCTGACTTCCTTGTATCCTTCAGCTGGATCTGGCTGCTGAGGACTTGCTGGGCCTTTTCCATAAATATCAGGCGTGCCCGAATAATTTTTAAGTGTTGAAATTATTTTAAAAAACCCTCACATAAGCATATAAATGATCTTAGGGAATATTGAAAAATAAAAGTTTTAAGTAGATTCAGGCTAGAGTGGGTGTAAGGTATTGGGGCCTGTTTGAATCGGAGCTTACGGTCAGGAAAACGGTCTCATCAAGCTCCTCGGCTTCTCTCATGATGGTCTCCAGGGTGTCCTTGGCAGCATCCATGCTCTGCAGAAAGTGGACCATCTGGTCATGCAGGAACTCCATCTTCTTCTTCTTCACTTCCTCAAAGCTCTGAGCTTTCTCATCATACTGTGCTAAAACCTTCTTCATCATCTCCTCATTCTGTTCTTCCAGCTTTTTCTCATTTTTACTACAATTTTCCTAAAACAAAACAAAACAACAACAACAACAAAACTTCTAAATGAAATGAGAAATGCATGTCTTTTTTTTTTTTAAGAGAAACACCAGCCTTTTAAAGAGCTGATCTCTGGCATCCTGACAAGAGAAACACAGAGCACATGCTCAGTCTAAATTTCCAACCCATGACCCTCCTTTGACGCAGTTAGCTTTGCAATAGAATTCACTGTAAGAGCATCACCAAGAAGGATTTAGTTACTGAAATCACAAAAAAAATATATTTGTGTGGAAATCCTTCCCACCTGCACCTCCACATGATCGAACTTGAAAATGGCATCGCAGTGAATGAAGACTCAAGGCCGTCAGGTAGTAGGGAGGGGTCTGTGCCATTTTCACTACTCCAGTAAAATCACGGTGTGAGGGAGGGGCAGCCACGATACCGGACAGGGTGCTACATTCACAAATGCTCTCCAGGGAGGGAGAAGTCTCAGTTTTTTAGCCATCAAATGGAAACAATAAAGCACCAATCTCATACAGTTATTATGAAGATTAAATTGGATAAGCCTGTAAAGCATTTGCCTTATTGTAGTAAGTGCCCAATAAATGTGCATGTGTTTTTAAGGGTTAGTCATTTATCTTTAGACAGAAGGCAGTCTTCACTGACGACACACATATGGAAAACTTTAAGGCCTTCACTTTAATGGAAAAACATCAACAATGGCAAACCACACATGCACACACAGACCCCAATTCAGACTCTTTTAGATCAGAATCATTTACTTGTGGTGCCATAACAAACCAGGTAAATGTGAAAGGGATGTGGGAACTTACCTCAATGGTGTTAAAAAAAGATTCTATCTCACTAACAAAGGCTTCAATCCTCAAGGACTTTTCTTGTAAATTTTCTAAAAATTCTGCTAATTGAACCTGAAGAAAAGAATTAAGATATCTTTAGTATATGGCATTTGAGAAAAGAACTTCAAGCAGTGAGCGCCAGATCCCTTGTAAATTTGGTATGTTTGGTAGAGATTTACTATATACTATGTTGACTAACAAATCAGTCTTTAAATTTTATTTGCTGCTTCACCTAAATTGAATATAGAGCCCTGGCTGGTGTAGCTCAGTGGACTGAGCATCGGCCTACGAACCAAAAGGTCGCTGGTTTGATTCCCAGTCAGGGCACATGCCTGGGTTGCAGGCCAGGTCTCCAGTCGGGGGCATGCAAGAGGCAACCAGTCAATGTTTCTCTTACACATTGACATTACTCTCCCTCTCCTTCTCCCTCTTTCCCCTCTAAAAATAAATAAATAAAATATTTAAATTGACTACAGATAATTCTGCACAATAAGCAATTAGGAGTTTTGTGAATGAGAGCAATACAAAGACAATTTAGTTTCTCATACAAGAGGAAGGACCTCTCAGTAAGTTGGTGAGTTCAAAGAATACTTGTTTTAGTGGAATATGGATTGGATTATTTCTCCTTGGTCTCAATTGAGGAGAAAAAGGCCTCAATTTTTATATGTTGTCTTTCCTTTAACAGCAAGCTTTTTGCTAAATTAGCCCAATATACCTGAGTAGTCTCCTCACATTTGTGCCAATGGCCTCACGTGAGCCTGGACCACCTGAGGCTCAGAGGTGTCACCAGGCCAGTGTAGCATACCAAATGATGGAAACTATCTGCCTAAGAGACGTAAAAGTTCTAATGATCCTCAAAGGGTTAAAATACTCAAGGCATGACAGCCAACTAGAAAACGTGTGAGGGATGGGGGAAGATGGTACCTACTTTAACTATAGTTGTAAAGTTAGCTGTAATCTATCCTGCTTAATCTTAACCAGTAACAGCATCGTAATAGAGCATCAGCTGCCTGATTCACCATCCACAGAATGATGGAGAAATTACACTGATGAAGGCCCCTTTGGGATCTGGCCTCTGCTTCCCTCTTTAGCCCCCAGGCTCCAATCACACAAGCCCCATCTTTCCTTGGACTCTTTCTCACCTATGTGCCTTTTCATATGGCACTCCCTCTCTCTAGAATGACCTCTCTGTCCTTGTTTGCTGAAGGCCCTCTCTTACTTAAGGCTTACCCAAGCTTTTCCTTTTCAAGACACCTCTCCTAATCCTCTTAGTCTTACTCCATCATTTCACTCCCAAAAGTTCATTCCTTAGAACATTGCTCCTACAACGCTTTACTGATACGTGGGAGCTACAGATCCACCTTCCTGTATTTTTGTTTTCATTCTCAATGACTCACACAGTTCCTGACATGGAATTGAGAATTGACAAATAATGCAAAGAAGGAAGGGAGAGAGTGGAAAAAGAAAATAAGTGACAGACAAATTGGTAAGCCACCACAATGGGGATGGAGTGGGGGCAGAAGCAGGGACCTAGATAATTTGTAAATGCAGTTGTCAGTTCCTGAATGTTCACAAATGGCCTACTCACAGATGCCAGGGAACTCGCAAGTTACAACTTTTTAAGTGGATTTTTAATTTTAGAAAGTGGCCAACCAACTCTTCCTCTTCACAGTTGATGTAATGAAACCAGGAAGCCGCTTTGGCTTTAGCCAACTGGTTTTCTACTTTCTCATACTGTTTGGAAAAGATCGGAGGGAAAAAAACTTTAGAATGGTTTTAAAACAGGAGACATCACATCTCCCTGCTTTTGGAATTTGTTTTAAATTGAGATTTAGAGAACTATTTTTTTAATTTCTAAAATTCATAGAGATAAACAAAATATAATTAAGAAGATGGAAAAAATCTAATCTTATTTCTGCTGACAGTAACCAGTAGTGGTTACTTAACAAAACCAAGTGTCATCACAGAATGGAGCAACATCGATGCTGCTAATGTGTCCAATGCCTGAGATTTCATAAACGAAATGCTTCATTTCCTCAAACTTTACCAGGTAAAGTTTCAACAAAATTCCACCCTAGAGAAATAGAACCAATATCAGACAAGTGCATAAGAATTAATTTTCTAGTGAAAAGAAAAATGCCAAGGTTCTACTGTGTTATCCTATCGGATCAAAATGAGCCTAGCAATTATTTAACTGTGACCTAGTTGAATATTGAAAATTGCTACCATTAGGAAGTTACTGAGCCCTGCAAAAGGGATATACAGCCAAGAGCATGAACTCTGGCACCAAGAGCATTTCCTCAGGCAGACCTGGGTACCAATTCTAGTTCTGTTTTCCATGACCTTGGGCAACTCAAAAACTAAGCCTAACTCAGGATCTGAAAATTGATGATAATGACAGTATTGTGAGGATTAAAAGATATCTTATATATAAAGAACACTGTGCCTAGCAGAGAATAAATGCTCAATTCTTATTGTTATTTGCACTTTTACATCATTCTGGCTATTGTATGGAAGACGGATGGAAGAGACAAGAGTGATGATTGCAAAGGTAGATGGGAATTGCAAAGACTAAACAGTTGATTTCCATTAGTATCTCTGAGGAAATGGAATATTTATAATCACATACATAAGGATATGTGTTGTGACTAACTTTTTAACATTGGGAATCAATCTATAGACATAGCCAGAAAGAATGCAAAGGTTTTCCATTTCTAACATCAGTTTGATAAGGAGGAAATATGGAGAAAGCCAAAATTTAAAGTGTCTTAATTTCTATTTTATAAAATTTGCAGTAAAAATTTCTCAGTGTAATGTAAATGTGTATTTTAAAAGATGAAATGGTAGATAATAGAAAATAAACTGTTTTATGCTCAAAAGTATGTTTTAATTTACAATTATTTGGTGTTTGGGGATAATGTTAAGGGGCACTGCCATAAGACCCCTTAAAGGCAGCAGCCCAGTTTATTTATCTTGGTGTCCCCAGAATCTGGAAAAAACTTGGCGCATAGTATAGACATAATAAATTCTTGTCAACTGATCTTAACTAAATGCCTGGGGAAATGTTCTTGGTTTTCTTTCAGACGAACTGTAATGCCTAAAGATGAATGTACTACATATTGATCATTTTTTAAATTGAGAAAATAAATTAAATGTCTACAGGGATGGGCAAAAGTAGGCTTACAGTTGTAATGCAAATAACTAATACATAATAATACAAGAATAAACTCTATTTCACCTACTCACAAGTGTAAACTTATTTTTGCCCACTGCTGTACATATTATTATGTCTTTATATGCTGTAAAATCTATTTACCATCTGCTGCAAAGAAGTTGGCTGTATTTTTTTTTTAAATATTTCACAAGAATGGATGTAAACAATTCTACTTATCCAGTTACACCTTTAAATTAAAAAAATTGAAAAAAACTCGACTTACCTTTACAGCACTTATAGCTGTATCAAGTGTTGCCACCTCATGGTCTTTGTGGGTGCCAAATATCTTGTCAACAGCAGAAATTGGGCTTTTGCAAGTATAGCAATATGTGTCAATCTGGGACTTTTTCGGTTCTTTTTGCTCCTTCTCGGTTACTAACTCTGTTGATAATTGGTCTTCTGTCCTCTCTCCACCCAACTCTTTCTGTTCAGCAGACGCACTTGGTTCCATCTCACTCACTAATTCATTTCCAATGATGTGTTCAAAGGATTCCTTTCCCTGAGACAACACATCTTCAGTGGTGGATTCTGAATACAGTTCTTCAGACAAAGTGTCTTGAGCAACTACTTCATAGTTCAGGGATTCAGCAAATTCATATTCATCCTGAACAGGACTACTGCGGAGCCTATCTTCTCTTGGCTCAGGTGGGACCATTACTGTAGGTTCTACTTGCAGTGTTTCTTGAACACAAGTTGCACCAGATGCTAATTCTTCCTCTGGGAAGGACACTTGTACCGGGACATTCAGATTGACCTCTGGATTTGCATTTGCTGCTTCATTACTCTGACTGCTTGTTTCATCTGCCCTCTGTAGAACATGAGGAGTGTCTTCAAATGGAACTGCATAGCTTACTTTCTGGATACTCACTTTGACTTCCTCAGTGATGGGAGCTTTCCTCTGTGTATCTACATTGCCAAGGGTCTCCACATGTCCTACCGATTCTCCTTCTCTGTAAGCAGCTTTCTGTTCCTCTTCCAGTTTCTTTTCCCCCAAAATAGTTCCAAACCTCCCCCAAATTTCCCTTTCTGCTTCTATTGGTTGGTATGAATCATCCTTACCAACTGTTTTTTCTTCCAGACCTTGGCCTTGGTCTTCTTCAGTTATAGATGTGTCATGGAGAATGTCATCTTTGAGTGTGTACTTCTCAAAATATATTCCTGTTCCATCATCAGTGTCAGAATTTCTACCTGAAAATGATGCCTCAGAATTCACACTGTCACCTTCAGAAGATGTCTCCCCTTCCTTCTTTTCCTCTCCAACTGCTTCTCCATACAGATCCTTATATAAAAATGCAAGTGCAGGTGGTTCCTCAAGAAGTTCAGGATTAACGGCTTTAGGAGTGGTAGGAAATATCTGGCTTCGTGACAAAACTCCTTCCTCTGCAGCAAATAAAGGCACTCCAGGTGACTTTGAGTCCACATCTCTATCTGTGCTCTTTGAGGCATCTCTGTCAGCTGACTGTTGGATAACCAAAGACTTCTGGGTCTCTGGGTGAGATAATTTGCTGTAGTCCTTTTCCAATCCATAAAAACTTTCATCTAATTTCACCAAGTCATACTCATGTTCTAGGGCACTTTCCTCTGAACTTTCTGGGAAAGAGATAGTTCCTTCTGTAACTTCCTTTGAGAGTTTTGCCTCAACATGTAATTTTCCTAGAGCTTTCTGTTTTTCTGGGTCTGGGGAGATGTTATAATCAATCAATGTATATTTTTCAAAATAATCCTCTTCACCAAGAATTGTGTGCTGATTAAAGGACAAATCACCAGTTTCTGAACCTGTGGATATCTTCTCCTCTGTTTTATAAGTTTCCTCTTGTTTATTTTCTTTCACTGATATAACTTTTTTATCAGAGTCTTCTAACTTACTCTTTAATGTTTCATGGAGAACAACTGCCCCATGATTGTCAGGTAAGGGTAGAGTTTTAAGTGATGTCTTCTCTTCCAAATATTCTAACTTGTCTTGCATTTGTTCACTTTCTTCCTGATCAACTGAAGAAATAAATGCAGGGGCATGAATATTCAATATCTCACAGCCTTCAGAAATGATACTGAAGGCAGCCTTTTGATCTTCTGAAAGTCCAGCTGGCTTACTAGTTGTTGTAAATTCTTCAGGCTCCTTGGATATTTCTCTAGTAGAAACCATTTTATTGTCATTGGTTATTGATGCACTTGCTATAAATTGAGCATAGTTGCTGCTTGATGAAGGGGGTGGTTCATTTGTATTGGCAGCTCCTACAACCTCAAAATGGTGCTTTGAAACAAGTACAGATTGTTTAGACATTTCAGATGTTTGCTCTTTAGATGTTTGAATAGCATGGACTGTATGCCTATCTGGAGTCAATTCTTGTTTCTTCACTGTACTAATTTCTGGAGAAGCCCCTGAAGCAAGTGTTTGTGGTTTCACAGATGACAACAAATATGGCGGTGTTTCTAAGCTCTTTGATTCATCCAAAGGGCGGTCTACAATCCTTTCAGATTCTTTAGATGGAGATCCTTGTTTTATACTATCTTTTGTGATATCTACTGATCCACCTTTTGACAACTCTGACACTGTGACCTGTCCCTTTTCTTCATTGTAACTCGCCATATCCCTGCTTGATTTTTCCAATACCAGGTTTTCTTCTTTAGGAAAAGAGTGGTCATCTATTTCATCATGATAAGAAAGATCCACTGGGACAAAAGTCTTGGTTTTCTCTACCAACACTTCACCTTCTTCTAATAGAGATGACTGGATTTCTACTGCCTTTGTTTCCCTGATTTCTGGGTGAGCCTCTGAGATCATGGTTTCTGATTTTTCAGTAGTTGGTGTAGTTTCAACTAATAAAAATGGTTGGGTTTCACCCAAAGAATCAGTTAAAGAGACATCTGATTTTTCAGGCATAGACCTGGCTACATTCATAGGATAAGGCTGAATCTCCTGCTGCTTCTTTCCTTCTGAAAATACTTGTAGCGGCTTTTCTTTTTCTTTTCTTTTCTCCTCCTCAATAATTTTGAGTCTTTCTTTGTGGTCTTCATTTTGACAGACTCGTGGCAGCACAGCAGCAGCTTTTGATTCTTCCAATTTAATAGGGAGAGATCCCTGTGTAGTTGGGGCCCTTCCTACCTCGCTATCTCTTAACTCTAACGGGGCTACCGTTTCTTGTTTTTCTGCCAGCACCTTCTCTGCCAAGAAATATGATCTGATTTCCAAGTTCTCTTTCTCCTCAGTTGGGCTAACAGATCTGAGTTTTACTTCCTCTTCAGAAATTTTCAAAGAAGTAGGTTTAGGCATTTCTTTCTTTAGTCTGTCTTCACCAAGATCAATTAAACTGCCTTTAGATTGTTCTACTGGCAAAATTATTGACTCTGGCTTCTCTGATTCCCTTGTGACACTTTTCTTTGTGAAGCTAGCGGAAGCTGATTTTGGCTGTTGTGGCACCTTATCTACTGCATCAGGTGAAAAGAGTGAGTTTTCTTTTTGATCACCCCTTGGCTTTTCGCTAAAAATAGAAATATTCCATTTAGATGGAGGAGAGATTTCTGGCTTCTGGGCTTCTTTACTATCAGTGACATGAAGAGGAACAACCTTTTTGTCTTCTTCCATAATGGATTTCTCACCCACCGGAGAAGACTGAATTTCAAAATGTTCCCCCTTGTCAGCAGAAGCAACTACTGAGTTTAGGTCCATTTTCTCTGAATACTCTAGGCTTTCTTTCTTTCCATGATCTTCACTAGACACCTCAAAGTTAGATTTTGGCTGTTGTAAAACTTCTACATTTGATAAAAGTGTATGTTTTACTTTAAAGTCTTGACCTTCACCAGATTTAACTAAAGTGCCCCTGGACTCCTCAGCAGTTATGAGTTTTGCCTCTGGTAGCAGATGATCAGCTGGTTTCTCAGTTGCATGGAAGTCAGCTGGAGCTGTACCTTTAGGCTCTGTTACAGTCACTGCTTTTTCTACAGATGGACTTGGCTGAATTTCTAAGCCTTCTTTTTCAGCAACCTTGTCATCCACAGTGCTTGATCTAAAAAACCAATTGGACATCCATGATGTGAAGGATGAAATTCCTTTCTTTTTCTTTTCCTCAGAAAGGCCTGGTTTAACTGCCTTTGGCTGTTCAGGCAGTTTTTGCGTCACCTCGAGTGATTCTGGGGGTTGGGGTTCTTTATTTTCTTGGCTTAAGGAGAGGGGCTTCATTTGTGTGGGTATTTTCATTTCAGATATTGGCTTCCCTCTCCCATTAGCACTATCTACAACCTCCAACTGATCCATTTTTGAATCTTCTAATGGCTTCTCTCCAGGTAAAGCAGATATAATCCTGTGTGCTGCTTGTGTATTGCCTACTGCAGGTTCTGCATCTTCTTCCAGGAAAGGAGCTGCTTTGGCATGAGAGACAATAGCGTCTGATTTGACAAGTTCTGTTGATGGGCCAGACACTGGTTTGTGGAGGATTCTTTCAGGAGGTAGTTTGACTTCTTCCTGGCTATCTTCTTTGCAAGGCTGGGAAAATTCTCTGTTTGCTTTTTCCAATACTGAACTCTCATTCCTCACGAAAGAAAAGACCTGCTTCCCCTCTGTTTCATTTCTCTCTACATTTTCAGCTGGAACTAAAGATTTTGGTTCTGGGGCCAGCTTTATTTCTTCAGAAGGTGTTTTAGTTGATAAGGTCTCTACATTACCCGTGGGGATATCATGAGTAGATACTGGTTCTTGTACTGATAAATGGGGTTCAGCAGAATGTGGCGGAACCTGCTTTCCAATTTCGTGTGGATGGTCTTTCTCCGACAGAGTAGCCTTGGGCAGCCCTGTCATCAGCTCACTGCTGCCAGAGGAGCCCAGTGGCACAGATCTCAAGACTCCTTCTTCATGATGACTTGCCACACCTCTTTCTGGCTTTTCCAGCATCCAGTTTTCATCCTCTGGAGAAATAAGGGCCTCTTTCATTTGTGTTTCTTTAACATCTGCAGACTCAGTGGTCAAAAATGGCTTTGATTCTTCCAAAGGCAAATTTTCTTTTATAATTGATTGTTGTTTAGTACTTAGATCTTGTTTATCCACAAAAGATGTGCTTACATCAGGTAATTTAGCAGCATGATCTAAATGAAGCGTGTTTTCAAGTTTCTCTTGCTCCATGAGGAGGTCCGAAGAAGCAACCTCTGAGGGTTCAGTTATAATCTGGGGTACAGGGAATGAATTTGTTTGGTCTATTTCTTCTTTTAGTGTAGTTACAGTATCTTCTATCACTTGTGCCTTCAAATTTCTTGTTGGCAGTAATGAACTTATTTCTTGTTTTTCCTCCTTTTTAAAGTCAGCTGAATGGTTCAACTCTTTTGATCCTTTTAAAGGAAAAGTATATGGCTGATGTTCTTCAAGGTTGTCTTTTTCAACTAGAGAGGTAAATGCCTCTTTTGACTCTAAGCTGACTGCCTTAGGAGAGATAGATTTGATTTCTTGGTTCTGAGGTTCCTCCTTAAGGCGTGATGAAACCTCTGAAATTTCAGGCACTGGGAGGGACACGTGAAGTTCCCTGTTTTCTTTTTCTCCTTGTCCATTGCTCCTAAGCTCAGCAAGGCCCCTCTCTAAAACAGAATCCCCCGTTTTAGTTATGAGAGATTTTATTTGTTTTGTGTCTATAGATCCACTTTGCCTACCTAAATCACCAGTGATTTGCAACCCAACATCTGGTAATTCTGATACTTGGTGTGGCTTGTCTTTCTTCTCAGGTTGCAAAGAGAGCTCTGCCAGAGCAAGATCTTGTTTTTCTGACAGGAAATCGCCCTGAGGTGTAGAAGATGTCTCCATTGACCATTTGCTCTTATCATCACTGAGGGTTGATAATGTTAGAGCTAAACCTTCTGACACTAAATTTTCCAACTCAGGAGAAAAACATGCCATTTTCTCAGTTTCGCCTTTTGGAACTGCATATTTGGGTGCAGGTGACACATTTTGTGAGAAAGGAAGTTCACTTTCTATTTTCTGTATCTCACCATGTAGGCTGACCGGAAGCACATGTTCGGGCCCTGACACCTCTGAGGCAGACACAGAGTTCTTTTTCTGTGATAAAGCCGAATGTTCAGAGTCAAGGACTGTAGAAAATGAAAGACCTTGTTCGTTTTCTACCCTTGCTTCCTTAGATACATCTGCATGCTGAGAAGACAGTATTTTGGTTATTGGCAACCCAGGTTTAACATCTTCAGTTTCTACCTTTGACAAAATAGAATGCTCCAATACAGAGGATACGCTTGGAGGTGAATCCAATTTAATTTCCTTCTCAGCTTGTGACCAAGGTGGATGTTTAGATTCAGCAGTTTCAGTGGCAGAAGAGCTATCTTTGATTGATACCTTTTCTTCTTCTTCAAGAAGTAAATGTTCACCCATAGATGTTACCAGTGGTGGTGAACCACTTCCTAATCTACTCTTTCCTACTTTCAAGACTGGATGTTCTACAGAGCTGGTAACAGATAACTCTGCTGGGATTTCTTCTTTTGCTAATTTGGTTAAGTTTGAATCATGCTTAGCTACAGAGGTTGTGGTTACTGAAGAACTGGGTTCAATTTCTTTCTTTATTTCATCTGACAAAGCTAAAAATTCTGGTGCAGATGGTTCATGTTCAACTTTCTTTTCCACTCCTGATGAAGCTGAATACAATACTCTAGGTGTACCAGTTATTTTGGAGTCATGTTTCACTTCTGTTTCCACTACTGATAAAATCTCAGGTCCAGATAAAGATGTTTCCTTTAGAGATGAATATGGTTTTATTACTTCAGGTTCATTCTCTGACAACAGCCTCTGTTCTAGTTCAGATGTCACAGTTGGAGCTAAACTGAGTTTGACATCCTCCTTTGGCTCATCTACCAAGTCAGACAGAACTGAATATGTCATTCCAGACCCTGGAACATTTGGAGGCTGAGGCTCCACTTCTTGATCCCGTGATACACATGCTGTAGTTTCTTGAGAATCAGGCACAATTTCTTCCTTACTCTTAACTTTTAACAAAGCCATCTGTTCCTTTGAAGCTTTTGGAGTGAGTGATGCTTTGGGTTCCTGTTCTTTCTTAAGTGCATGGACTGAATCAGGTGAAACTGAATATTGAGGTGAAGGTGAAACAGGTTTGGTTTCTTCCTTTACCATGGATGATTGTACAGGTAAAGAAACAGGTGTTGTATCTACTGATGAAATAATCTTAATTTCTTCCTTCTCCAGTTCACTGGTTAAATTTGGTGGAATCAGATCTTTAGACTTAGATTCTAAAAATGCTTGAGTTACCTGTTTCTGTACTGAAATGAGATATTCAGCTACAGATGTTGACACTGTTTGAGCATCTGCTTTATTTGTTGTAGGTGGCAGACTGGAGTCTTCAGTTGCAGACATCAGAGGGGAAGGTTCTGCTTGTTGCTTCTGTGATGAACTGAGGTGCTCAGGTACTGGTGTAGCAGTTGTTGGTCCAATTTCTTCCCCACCTGCTTCTGTAAAGCAGGAATATCCTGAAGCAGATACCGTAGTTAGCAGTGAATCAAGATCAATTTCATTTTTCTTTGTTTCTGGAATACTGTATGGTGGGACTGAAACTTGTGATGCTGAGTCTGGAGAAAAAAGTTCAGCTTCTTCAGTGTCTTCATCTGAAAAAATAGTGTGTTCCGATGGTGATGTTAAACATATTGGAGAATCACACTCAAATTCTCTTTTCTGTGTTTCCTGAGCTGCATAAGGTGGGAATGAGAACTCTGACACAAATGCAGAGTCTGGAGAAAAAGGTCCAACATCTTCTGGCTCTTCTTCTGAAAAATGCATGGGTGAGGAAGCACCTTTTAGATTTAAAGGTGAGCTGTGTACAATTTCTTCCTCCTGTGATTCTGGTGTTGCATAAGGCGGTACTGAAAATTCAGAAGCAGAGGTAGAAGATGGTGTGTACCGCTCCATTTCTACTGTCTCCTCTTCTGATAGGACCACATGTTCAGAGGGGGTGGCTGAAAGCATTGGTGACTGGCACTCAGAAGTCATCTCATCAGTTGTGCCCGGGGGTAAAGAGTGTTCAGAGATAGAGGCCACATCTGGGAAATATGACCCAGTGTCTTTCTTCTCTTCGTCTGACAGAATAATGTGCTCAGAAACACCTTTTGATTTTAAGGGGGACACATCATCAATTGTTTTCTTTGGGGATTCCTGTGCTACATTTGGTGGAACTGCATATTGGGAAGTCAGTGTTGAATCTGGTGTGAAAGGCTCACTTCCTAGGTCCTCTTCTGATAGGACCACATGTTTAGATGGAGTGGGAGAAAGTGGTGGGGTTTGGTGTTCAGAAATCACCTCAGTTGTGCCTAGGGGTAGAGAGGATTTAGCCACAGATGCCACATCTGGGGAATACAGCTCAGTGTCTTCTTTCTCTTCTTCTGACAGAATCATGTGCTCAGAAACACCTTTTGATTTTAAGGGGGACACATCATCAATTGTTTTCTTTGAAGATTCCTGTGCTACATTTGATGGAACTGCAGTCAATGTTGAATCTGGTGTAAATTGTTCACTTCCTAGATTCTCTTCTGAAAGGACCACATGTTCAGATGGGGTGCCTGACAGTGGTGGGGTTCGGTGTTCAGAAGTCACCTCAGTTGTGCCTGGGGGGGAAGAGAGTTCAGCCATAGAGGCCATATCTGGGGAGTGTATTCCCCTGGTGCCTTCCTTTTCTCCTTCTGACAGAATCATGTGCTCAGAAACACCTTTTGATTTTAATGGGGACTTATGGTCAAAGGTCTCCAGTGACTCTTTTGTTGCCTGTGATGGAACTGAATATTCAAAAGCAGATGTGGAATCTGGTGTGTAACGCTCACTTTCTGAGGCCTCTTCTCCAAACAGGACTGTGTGTCCCAATGTAACTGTCGAAAACAGTGGGGACTGGCATTCAGAAGTCTTCTCTGTTATAGATGGTGAGAGAGAGTGTTCAGATGCAGAGGCCGAAGCTGGGGAATAAGGCTCAAATTCCTCATTCTCTTCCTCTGACAAAACTGCACGTTCAGATGTAGCTTTTACATTGGATGGAGAAACTGGCTCAACTTCTTGCTTCTCTAGTTCATGGTTGATGTCCTGTGGGATTGAATACTCTGATATAAAAGCAGAATCAGTAGAAACAGACTCATTTTCCTCTCTTTCTTCCTCAGACAAAGCAACATGTTCGGGTGTTGATGTCGGTAGTGGTAGAATGGTCTCCTTTTCTTTCTGCTCCACTTCAGGGGCCAAATGTGGTGGGAAGAGCTCCTCAGAAACTGCTGGACTTTCTGGGTAATCAAGTTCAATGATCTCTTCTTCCACTAAATTAGAATCTTTGGGTTCAGGGGTAGCAGCTATTGGTAGAGAAGTTTCTATTTCTTCCTTCTCTGACACTAAAGGTTCAGAAAGAGAACCGGATGGCTCAAACACATTTTCTTCCTTCTCTCCTTTGACATCGAGTCTAGGTGGGGCCAGTTGTTGGGAGGCCGGTTCTGGCCTTTCCAGTGAAGTCAGGTCCAGCTGTTCTTTCCCTGGGCCCAAATCTTCCTGGGTGGATGCTGCTAGGCCTGGTGTACCTGTTTCCAGAGAATCCTTCTCTGCCTCCTGTGAAATGGAATGGTCAGCAGAATACACATCTTCCTTCTTCACCTCATTCACCAAAGGTGGTGAGACTGAAGATTCAGGCTCTGAAGTTACATTTTCTTGTGAATCAGGCACCAATTCTTCCTTTGCTGTTTCCAGGAGCACAGTTTCAGATGTCTTGGGGGGTAGGGAGGAAGGCTCCATTTCATGGGGTTTGGCTTCAACGCCGGGCTTTTGCAGCGCTGACTGAGGAGGCCTGAGCTGTGTTTCTTGTTCGGCTGTGTCATTACTTATGTGAGAGGAAACCGTCTGCTTGGTGGCAGAAGCCGCCTTTGGAGGCGAATCAGTATAAATTTTCCTTTGATCTTCAAGACCAAATAAGGAGGTAAGGGACTTTGATCCTTTGGAGAGTGCACCTCCCCAGGGTGAAGCAAGCTGTTTAACTTTATTATCTTCTATGCTTTGGGCTACTAATTTGCCTGTTCTGGAAACCATATTAGAATCACGGTTGCCCAAATCTGGCTCTAGACTAATGGATGCATCTTTCCCCTTCCTATAATGTATCTCTTTAATCACATAACCCTTTGGTAATGTTCCATAAAACTGTAAAGGAATTAATTCTTCTTTAACTGAATTAAACATCTTAATTTTATATTGTACTGTTCCTATATAAACTGGCCTTAACACGAGTGGCTTGTGTTCTTTGTATATTGCCCCCGTAATAGGAGGTACATTTGAGGTGTTCTTCTTTTTTCTCATTTTATCGTAACTGCCACTAGAGAATGTCTCTTTCTGGGTGGTTAGTACCTGGCTTTCTGAGGTTAAGGAATTATCTTTTTTGTTTGCTGGGGCATCTTGGGATTCAAAAGAATTTCTTTTTTTGTTGCTTTTCCGACGCAATGATGGTGAGCCACGCTTTGACTTAGGCGTTCTTTTCCGAACCTTTTTAACTTCATCCACAATAAAGGAAACATTCCCTGCAGAAGAATTCATAGTCGACCCCTCCGGACTACACACACCGGACGTCTGACTTTCTCCCGAAGCCCAAGGAGTAGAAGACCTGCTTGAATTGGTCTCCCAGGTGATTCCACTATCTTCTCGTTGCACTGTCACCATGGAAAAGGAGGGGTCTGATATGATACACTTCTGCTTGGTGTTGCCCTCTTCATCCTGGTCTGATAACCTACAGTAAACAATAATAACATTAATGATTACATATATTATAATACATATAACACTATATTACCGTATTTTTGGACTAAAGGCATCCCCCCAAATTTGGGAGGAAAGGGGGTGTGTCTTATAGTCCGAATGTAGCTTACCTGGCTCGCTGGGGTGGGGGGGGGCAGCAGTCTATGTTATTCATGTTATTAAATATTTTACCACATTTTTTGCTTCAAAATTTTTTTCCTATTTTCTTCCTCTAAAACCTAGGTGCATCTTATGGTCTGGTGCATTTTACAGTCTGAAAAACTCAGTAATCACTTATTATAGTAATAAGTAAATATCATACCTTTTTTTAAGAATTTATTTATTGATTGATTTATCAATTTATTTAGAGGGGAAGGGAAGGAGAGAGAAAGAAACATCAATGTGTGGTTGCCTCTCATGTGCCCCCTACTGGGGACCTGGCCCACTACCCAGGCATGTGCCCTGACTGGGGTTCGAACCAGCGACCTACTGGTTCACAGGCCCATGCTCAATCCAGGGAGCCACACCAGCCAGGGCAATATCATACCTTTTTGAGGTAAAGTATTAATGTGAAATTAAAATATAGAGATAAATATCACCATCCATATCAAAAATAGAGAAGTATATAAAATAAAGTTTTAAATTGTCGAATACAATAACACATCCTGGGCTGGAATGAATCAGTATTCCCAAACTCAAAAAAAGCTAGTTAAATTCATTACCTCCTGTATTAAAATTACCCCCTGACCCTGACCTCCCATGGCTCACCCAGTCACTCAGGCTCACTCTAGTCACCTGGACCTTTATAATGGCTCTTGCACCTGTGCTCTCTCTGTTTCTACGCCACCCTGACCCAGCCTTTTTAAAAGTACATCACCTCTAGATTATCACATTAGCTTCCTAACAGGTCAGCTAGTATCACGTTTTCCTCTTACCTTCTCCCACACTCAACTCATCCTGCCCTTCTTCCAGACCAGCTTTACTAAAAATTTTCATCATGTCACCTGCAAAAAATCTCAACAAATTCCTTAGACCTGTAGGGGGAAAAAGTTCAAAATCTCTAGTTCTTTGATTCCTAGCTGACTTTATTTCCAATGCCCACCTCTACCCTACCTCTACATGATACCTTTCCATTTTAACTCTAAAATTTGCTGTCCAGTAAATGTATTGTGGGAACTCTGAGTCAGGGCCATAAAGTGAAAACCCATCACAGAATATAGGGCAATCACACACAATGCCAGCCTACTGCGCTGCATTTTCCTCATCTGTAAACCAGGGGTAGTAACAGAACCTATTTGGTGAGGTCAATGTGAGAATTAAACTCGTTAATGAAATGCTTAGAAAATGTGCCTGGCATGAAGTTAGTGCTCAATAAACATTATCCGTAATCAGACTTTCCATACAATCCTTGGCCTAGAGATCAAATGGACATAGTCACTTGCAACTGCTAGAGGTATTTAAAAAGGTGTCTCACTTGACTGCTCCCATATCCTATCAAGAGACAGGCTCTGGCTGCCCTTTCACTCGCCATTGGGGCCCCGTCTCAGGCTCTGCAGCACTCTTCTCTGGAATTTCCTTACACCTCCTCCCCCTGTGCTCATGCATGCTGTTCCTCCATTTACAATGCTTATCCCCCACCTTACTCCACATTTTCTGCCTATGTAGAGTCTATCTACTCTTCAAGGTCTAAACAATCCTAGCTACAAAACTTAAATAGTGCACTGACTTTCTTGCTTACTGTGAACCCTTCCTAATTTTTTTTCATTAGTACAGTCTACTCCTCTTTCTTAAATTTCAGAATTTGCACCCAGGCAAATGTGAGGGGCTGGGGACCACTGAGTTCCTGGTTTCCTGAGCCCTCACCACCACCAAGGAGAGCCTGGGGCAGCCAGACCCCTGGTCACCACTCGTCCCCAGCAAGCAGCCTCATCCATTCACCCCAGTGTGCTATCAATAACATCATTTTCTATGCATGCCATGAATGAAAAGGCCTGAAAAGCAGTGGGAAGAACTGGTTTCTTCATTTCCCTGGCAACTCTGCTCTTACTTATTTGCTCTGGTATTAAACTACCGAACTTAATTAGGAATTAATACCTGGTTCTGGACTGAATCTCATTTTAAAATGGTTTTTGTTTTCAGGCTCTTTTACATACCTAATTGAAGTCATTCCTCACAATTTTCAATTCCTACTCCTTCTCTCATCTATTTAACTTAACAGAAGCATGTTGAAATAAAAAATTAAGGTTATTAGGAAAATACACATATCTGGAAAATCAGCATTTTGAATGCTTATGATTGTAATAGTATTACAAAAGCAGTTATACATTCAATTTAGAGCTAATTATTGATTGAATGTACTCAACCAGAGTTGTTTTCATTAGTAGCTAGAATGAGCTCATGAGTGCTTGGCAGACAATGCGCATAAGAAGACAGAGCTACTAAGGTGCGTTCATCAATCGTTTGCTTATTCATCCACTCACTTCTCTCTTCATTTAGTGAACTTTTATTGAGTTTAAATACTAGAAACACAAATACAAAGACACAGAGTCTTCTCTAAAGAAACTCAAAATCCAAACAGGGAGACAGAACTAAACAACTAACCTGGTGTGTTAAGTACTGTTACAGAAGATAGGCAAGATACAGTGAGAATATAAAGAAGGGAACACTTCACAGAGGAAAGATCCTTGACTTGGATTCTGAAAAAGAAATAGAAGTTTGCAAATGGATGAGGTGTGGAGGTGGTGTGAGGATGGGGAGGTCATTCCAGAAAAATGTCACAGAATATGCAAAATGTGTATAAGAATATTTCAGTCTGGCTTACTGAGAAAACCAAAGTATTTTGGGATGTCTGGATTATTGGAGAGAAGGAATGTCATGCAAGAATGACAGAGCCAACAAGAATCAGAGAATGACTATATTAGCATGTGTAAAACTATAGCCCATGTATTCACATTACACTCAGTCTAAAGAAACAATTTCCCTTAATAGAAGATAAATGGTTCCCAAATTCAGAAATGTATTTCTTATTCAGGAACACAAGTGTTCGCATCTATGCAAAAATGCATCAACTTTTCATAATTAATGGATATTGGCTATGAATATGATCTCATTCATTTTCCCTTATTCTCAGTGAGCCACCTTTTGATTATTACTTGGCTTCCCATGTAGATTTATCTATGCCGAGTGAGGATGAAAGACTGTCTTTACTGGTGAAGTCATCTGGACCTGTAGTCTTCTTTGTGGTAAGGTTTTTAAGAAGCAATTTAATTTAATAAGTTATGCAACAACTTAGAATTTTTATTTATTTTTGTGCCTTTTTTGGTATGTTGTATTTTTTAAACAAGTGACCTATTTAATCTAAAATTTTAAAAAAGACATTAGACTAAATATTTTCAAAATCTCCTTTTAGAATTTTTAACATTTTTGTAAGATTTAAAATTTTATCCATTTGAAAAAATTCATTTCCGATAGTTGTTGAGTCTTTTATTTAAAAAAAGAGAAAAAAAGTATTGCCAGGGCTTATCATTTGGATTTTTTTTTTCAAATAAAATTTGGCTTTATTGATTTTTCCTATATCATAAACATTTGTTATTTCTTTTCTTAAACTTTCTTTGGACTGAATTTACAGTGACTTTTCTACCTTCTTGAGATAGAGTCTTACATCATGAATTTGCACCTTTCTCTTTTTCTAAGTAATGAATTTAAGGCCATGTACTTCTCTTCAAGTGAAGGTTTAAATGTTTCAGATAAAAAGTTGGTACATACTATTTTTATTATTATTCATTTCAAAATATTTTGAATTTCCATTGTGATTTTTTATCTGACCCAGAGATTACTTTAAAATGTATTTCTTAATTTCAAAATACTTGGGAATCTTCCTACTTATCTTTTTGTTAGTGCTTTCTAATTTAATTGTACTGCAGCCAGAGAATTAATTTTATATGAAGTCATACTTTGCAATCTGTTGAGGTTTGCTTTATAACTATATGTCCAAGTTGTGTGGTTTTAAAAAATATTTATGTATTCTTGAGAACTATGTACTCTGCAGTTTTTCAGCAGTGCTGTGTATTTGTCAAGTAACAGATTTCTTAGTTGCGTTATTCAAATCTTTTTTATCTTTAGTGATGTTTTTTTTGTCTGCTTGTTCTATCAGTTACTGAAAGAGGCTTGTAACATTTATATTATAATTCTAAATTTGTCTCTCTTTGTAGTTCTGTTAATACTTGGTTTATATATTTTGAAGCTATATTATTAACTATAAGTAAATTTGGAATAGTACTATTTTTCTGAAAAGTTTAATTTTTTTATCTTTTTATTAATTTTTATTTTTAATATAATCATCAAAATCATATATAAATATAGTTTAAAAAGCAGGTGGTCACACAACCAAGAAAGTAAAAAAATAACCAATAAAACAGAGAAAATATTTGTAAATCATGTAGTTGATCAGAGTCTAGTATCCAGAATACATAAAGAACTCATATAACTCACCAAGGTGAAGAGAAACAATCCAATTAAAAAATAGGTAAAGGCCACAAACATTTATCTAAAGGAAATATAGAGTGGCTAATAAGCACAATCATTATGAAGTACCCTTTTATCTGCAAATGAAATGTTTTGCCTAACTCTACTTTGATACTAATAAAGATTTGCTTTGCTATTAATAGAGCTAAACCAGCTTGGTTTTGACAGTTTGCCTAGTATATTTTTTCACGTTTTTACTCTTGGCCTTTCTGTATCCTTATATTTCAGATGTGACTCTTACAAGCAGCATAAAGATGTTTAAATTCAACTTTGCAATTTAAATGGAGCACTTAGTTCATTTAAACTTACTATAATTACCATATATTTGGACTTAAATCCTCTTTTTACTTGCTTTCCATTTGTACTACCTATTCTTGTTCCTTTCCCCCTCCTTTCTTGCCTTATTTTGGATTGAATATTTTTATTCCATCTCCCCCCTCTATTGGCTTGGCAGTTACATTGTACTGT